TCAGACAGTATGTACAACATGACACCGCTTTGCTGTTGGCCCAGTCTCTCTGGCAATCAGCGAGATGATGGCGTGAAGCAGTAGGCTAAGGTCAATTTCAATCATGTAGAAGAAGTCCGGCAAGCAGGCCAAGACGACGAAGAAGGTAAGCAATTCCCGAAAACCTTTGCGACTCCCAATTAGCACTGCGGTGATAGCTAACATGCGCCTCCCAGTTCGTCATCAACGCCCAGCAGCCCGCCAGCGACAAGATCTTCGACACCGCCGCCTTCGAGAAGTTCCTTCAGGACAAGATCAAGGTTGACGGCCGCACTGGCAACCTCGGCGAGACCATTGTTATCCAGCAGGCTGGCGAGGGCAAGATCGAGATCATTGCCCACAACGAGCTCTCTGGCCGATACCTCAAGTACCTGTGAGTTATTCCGCCTCATCCATCGCTACTTTTCGCGGTGCTAATACTGGGCGACTATAGGACCAAGAAGTTCCTCAAGAAGATGCAGCTCCGTGACTGGCTCCGCGTTGTCTCCACCTCCAAGGGTGTTTACGAGCTCAAGTTCTTCAACGTCGTTAACGACGAGGCCGATGAGGATGAGGACTAAGCGGACACGATATCATGATGGATGGGAAAAACAGGCGGGTGTGCATGGACTCGGCGCAGGATACGGCACCTTTGCTATCACGGATAGACTCATTTCCCGGAAATAAATGATGCCAACGCAAACAACAATTACCTAGTTCCTCCCATATTGACTTGTCATGAAGTTCTTGCCTCCATATGCTGTGCCCTAGCCATACAATTTTCGCCTTGTTATTAAAGCCAGGTTTCTATCAATTATAGAACAAGCTTGTTAGGCGTTGAGTTAAATTTTCCCCACCATAGGCATTATAACCCTCTATGCATATCATGCCTTAAACGTATCTATGTCTAAAAATACTTGGCTTCCTACCGTTTTCTAGGACAGGAACCCCTTTTTGTCCCAGTTGTCTAAACGTGCCTGATAGTCTATATGGATTCTAAGGCAATGCTCTCATGACTCCCTCAAAAGCCACGAGAGCCATCGCATTGGCCGGGAACGCTCTCAGGAAGCAAGGCACGAATCCTCGCCAATACCCCTTAGCGCCACCCTCTCTATACACGGCTTTTGCAGCCTGTCCCCAATTTCTAAACCTCGGCGTCCCGTCATTGAGCTTCCCGCCCATGGGGTCCGTCATGATACGCTGCTTCACCACATCGCTCGGGTAGCTCGTGAGCCAGAAGACCTGGGCGCTGAGCCCGCCGGCCCAGAAGTTTATAGCGGGCGCGCTGAGGTTCGTCCGGTCCCTCAACACGCGCGAGAAGACATCGTAAGGACCCCACCAGAAGAAAAAGAACGACCGGAACAGCAGCGTCGCGAAGAACCCCTTGTAGACACCGGCAACCCCGTGGGCGCCATATATCTTGCGCACGCAGTCGACCGGCCCCGCGTACAACCGCTCCGCCTTGCTCGCGGAGTACTGGATCTGCAACCGCGCCTTGACGTGCTCGACGGGCGCCGCGATGAAACTCACCGTGCAGCCCGCCATAATGCCCGCGAGCCCGTGGCCGTACGACGGCAGATGCGCGGCGGCGTGCGACGTCGCGGCGATGGGGCCCTCCTTCTCGGGCGGCGGCCCAGACCCCGCCGATGGGGGTGGCGGTACGTGGCGGTAGAAGACGTTCTCGGCCAGCAGCCGGCGGTACACGGTCAGCGAGCCCAGCATGACGGAGTCCATGAACATCCAGCCGACGAGCGGCGGCGTCGCGCCCTTGTACAGCCCGCGCAGGCCCTCGTGGCGCACCGTCTGCGCGAGGCACTGCAGCGGCCCCCGGAAGCGCGTCGCGTCCGTCGTCTGCAGGCGCACCTTGATTGTGTCGAAGGGGTGGCCGACTGTCACTGGGTTAGATGCTGACTCGCTGGATACCTACCTACCTACCTAGGTTAGGTAGTAGGTACCTACCTAGGTAGGTAGGTAAATAAAGGAGAAGCTGGCTTGGAGACCGCTTGTACTTACCCGACAGCTTGGCGATGCCGGAGAAGACGCCAGCCACGAAGCCCTTGTAGTTCTTGCTGGCCTCGGCGGGCTTCTGCTTCTGGTCGGCCGCCATTTTCTTAGGGTTGACAGCTCAGGGGCTTGGACGATATAGGGCTACATGGGTGCCTCCTAGATAAGGGTCTGAAGCGGGAAGTCAAAAAAGTTTCGGCACCGGAATTAGCGGTGACGGTGGATTGAGATTATTTTTCTGCAGGTTATGGGTTCCCCGGATCCTAAGGCGCCACGCTAGGCTACGACTAACCGACGATATTTTTATTCATTTTGCCCTACTTATATGGGTAGGTACATACACAGTAGTGTCGCTTCCTGAAATCTAATAAGTTCATTGGCTAAATCTATTGTGCCTTAGCCGTAGGTGCCTCGGGGGACAATTGAGTACCGAGATCGGCGTCGGGAGGGCCGCGCCGTATGTATTTACAATTCCACCTCGAAACACAAAGATCAAGTTCTTTACAGCTTGTTCGAAGACAAACGATTAGAAGTTACCTTTCGCTATTCTAGCGATCGGAAGTCTTTGCGATAGGATCAAACGTACCCACCCAGTGAACCAGCATCCTAGTGGATGCCGTTGACGAATCCTGTTCGTTCCAGACCATCGCCATAATAGTTAGTACCGGAGATTTCAAGAATCTCCTTACAGACGTTGGAGTACTCAAACATGATTAATTTGCTTTAGCGTCTCTTCACATTGAGCCCGAGGTACCCACGATATTCAATGCTCAACACCTCAAGGTGGGCATGGGTTTGCTACTCAAATGCCATTTACCGCCTCTGTGGACTCCACGTTTGGACAGCATATTCGTGTCTACTCCAAGTTACACGTAATGTAACTCCACTAGCCATTCATATCCTAGGTAAGTATGTTGGAGTTGGGTTGTCTGAGTTCAGAGGAAGACTTCTCGGTCTACAGCATGAGGTTACAAAACGGTCTCGTAGACTTCGAGTGCAATTGCATAGATATGTCCACCGATTTCTGGTCATATCCAAGCGTAACTTTCCGGTATCCAATATGTCAATGTAAAAAGAATCAGAGCAATTCAATCAACAGGCAGTTAGATGTTCCCATCAACAAACCGGATCACGCCACACTTCCCAGCAACCCATGCCCAGGCAGAACAAGAGTAACTCAACTCGCATTGATATGTGTTTACTAGTCAACACATCTGCTTACAAGTTATCCGCTCTCTACAGGCTAATGTAAAACTACCCTGTTAGGTCACTTACAGGCGTGGCATCAACCATTGGTGTGAGAATATCTCTAGGTTAGCACCTAGCGTGGAATCGCTCACGAAGGATCCATTCTAGCCTTGTAACTAATAATAAGCCAAGGGAAGAGGAAGAAACTAGGTTAGGTTACATCTTTAATAAATGGAGGCGGCGCATGCTCAGGCGACGCCAGAAACAAGGTTTCTTTGATAGGCTTCGATGCGTTTACTCCTCTGAACTTCCAGGTAGACCGAAGATACAGACATAGTACCTAGTTTATGACAGCGAGCCGATTCTTGTGAATACCAGCAGTGCAATGCCGCATAGTAAATGAAACATTCATGTAACCCAAACGTCCACATAACCCTGGGGAAATCCTACCTAATGCAGTCGAAATAATCCAATAGATGCGCGGCGAGATGACACGGGTCCGGGGATGGAACATGGATCCGCTATACCAGCGGGCTGCGCCGTACGTGCAATATCCCGTTCCCCAGAGCCGCGCAACATGGGGGATCCTCGAAGCGTCAGACCGTAAGTTGATAGAGAATGGTCGTCGGACTGCTCCCGATGCCATCGACGCATATCGCATATAAAACGAGCCGTCTCTGCTCGCATTTTCGGCAATTCCTCTTCACCAACCAACCTCACTATCATCTCTCTTTCCTCAATACTCAAACTCAAACCCAAACCCAACAACATCTTCCGCCTTTAGCCCAACATGAAGGTTTTCGCCACCGTTTGCCTCGTCGCCTCCCTCGTTGCCAACGTGGCAGCGTTCGAATGCGTGGCCGGCAACACCGCCGACTGCTACAATGGTGCCAGGTTCTGGGCCTGCGCCAGCGGAGGAGTGAGTGAAAATCTCCCGATTGAAACTGGTTTCCATCGCCAGACAGTAATTAAAGCAACGGCTGACTCTTTCTTTTCCCAATAGGAATGCCTTACCGGTTGCGAAGTCTATACCGACGAGGGTGGATCCAGCGTAAGTCTTTCCGTCTTTCCCACATCCAAAAAAAAAAAAAAGCGAGATCTAATGGGTTACCTGCAGGCCTCGTGCTGGTAAACCCCCTACCTACCTACATAGGTGGACTCATGAAAAGGGGAGGAAGAGGGCCTCGGGAAAGGACGCCAACTCTGTACTGCTCATACTGGCCATGCGTTTGAGCTATCAATCAGAGACGTTCGGCGGAGGATCACACCAAAATACAATTCACACAAACTCATACCTGTAGTACACCCGCGACTGTGCGACGGGGAAGAGATATTGGAACAAGAAAAATATCTAGGTAGCAATTTGAGGCTCTTTGATAACCAAAACAAATGATCGACGCAGGGATCGAACCTGCGACCTTCTGTGTCCTCACAATACACCGTAACGATGCACTTGTAAGACAGACGTGATAACCACTACACCAGTCGACCTTTGAGTCGATAGAAACCCTGATATGCAAATATTTGGATTACTAGCGTATACATTGTAGCTTCACGGTGATATCCGCTCGTCATTGGCCGAAATATTGACAACGACGCAGCGTTGTCCGAACCTCGGGTTATGGAGCTATCGTCCTTATAACTTTCGCTAATCTAACCCTAACTAAGGCGCACATGAATTATACGAGGCAGCCTGCTAGCGTCAAAAATGTAGTGATCCCCTCTTCTAGGGCATGTGGCACTTGGAACTCTGGTAGTATAATCACGAAACAAATTCAAAAAGGAAATGTTGACCCTCCTGGGGCTCGAACCCAGAATCTCCTGATTACATATGTGATCGTAGTCAGACGCCTTACCATTGGGCCAAAGGGCCATTGAATGTTATTCGTTGAAGAAAATCTCTGATGGTGCGGTATATGTGGCTAGGAAACGGGTGTGGGTCCGTTCAGGTAGTATAGAATTTAACTACTGCGGAGAAATCTACCTACTAAATCTACACTCTACTCCTACTCCCCATCCCCCCTTTCTCAGTTGGCTCTTGAAAACTTCGACTCGAAAAGAACATCTGCCTCTGACCATTCTTCAGAAAAGCAAGGTGATCTCTGCAACATCACTTTCTTCCGAGATGGTTGGCGCCGGCAGGTTATGGCGTGGTCCAGATATGGCTGCCGATACTAGTGTAGGAGCTGCTTCTGGTCGTCCCTGTCTGATATAACGATCGATTCGGAATTGATCGAGTGGGTGGCAAAGGAGGTAAACCTGGTGCTCCCTCTCTGACGCTACAGGCTCGACTCCAGCCATTTCAGAAGTTGGCAGTCTGCGACATCTTAGGTAAGAATGGTGTAATTAGTTGTCATATCTACCTTGATGGTTAGCTAATTTTAACAAAACGGGTTCCCATAGAGGTCACGTACCATATACTAAGCGTCGCGAAGCTTGCCATGATTGTCCTGGAGGTGTTGCTTGAGGTGTATTTGCTGACTCATTGCTAGGGATCAAAGTGTCTGATTTTTGACAAGATGAGGCTGTCTGGCGCATTAAACGTGACAAAACCGGAATTCGGGGGTAGTAATGATTAAACACAAGTGAAAACCGAAAGCGTGCCATTTTAATTTGTTTGTAACATGGGGTATGAAAGGTAGTTCCCATGTATTGCTTGGTATGGCAGAATCTCCTTGGGCCTACAATATTTCCACGCCAGGCTTTTCGCATTTGGAATTGCGAAGGTACCAATCCAGCTTTGACTTTGCAAACTCGGGGTCCCAAGGCCTCCAATGAGTCATAGTCGCAACGACATACGTATGAGCTACGCAACGTAAACTTGCGCTTGGCTTCCATTTGATACGGAATGGAGGCAGAAGTGCTTGATCATCTACCATCCCCGGTTTGAAGCTCCCTGAGCGCCCTAGCTCGGCCTGCTTCTTCTTCATCTCAACGTAATGATGCCAGAAAGTCAGCCGTCCCTGAACGAAACGCCGGGCTATTGATTCCGAACATATATGGACGTGTGTCACTGTCGGAATGCTCCAACAGGGATTAGGCCAGGTATCTTCAAATTCAACCGTCAACTTATGTTCCAATAGGGCTACTTCGAGCGCCCTTCCTGTGTCCTTGAAAGGGTGACAGCTTGCTGAATCATTCGTATCCGGGCTCAATGTATTCACTGCAGCGTGGGGGAAGTGGGTTGTAAGAGCAAAAGGCAGGGAGTTATGGGCACAATATATTCCGATTGCTGCGTCAATTCCTTCAGCAGGGACAAATTTCCACATTTCCCTAACACTATAAGTGTTGCCTGTCGTGGAATAAAACCAGTCTCTGAGCGACTTCTGGTCCCATTGCTCGAGGAAGACCTCATCAAGGTTAGGTAGTAGTGGCAAGAGATCGCGGATGCATCTCACCCAGTCAACGCCACCCCAGTCGGGGCGACGTTGGCCCATAACGAGCTGTTTGATACGACGTAAATCACGAGGCATGAATTGACCAACATCCCAAACAGAACCGGACAAAATTCCGACTGTAGGAGCTCCAGAGGGATCATCGGAAAGGTACAGCCTATCGCGACCGAAATGAAACCATGTGCGAGGTCTATGTGAGCGCGTGCCGAAAGTAATCTCGTATCCGAAGCTTTTTAGCACTTTACGGGACTCGAAGCAAGTATGCAACAGCGGCGGGATTGGAGCAAGACTATAAAGATAGCTCTCTCGGGTAAGTTCAAAGGCCATATCTAGATGATCTTCCAGCCAGCGAAGTGGGATTTCTGGGGTTGCCGCTGTCGGCGGCCACGGCTGATAGGGCTGAATGCTTGAGGTAAACCCATAGGAAGTAAGGACTTGCTGCGCAAATGGAACAGGACTTATAGGGGCAAGGCCGCGCCAGTTCCAAGCGAAATGCACGAGATCGGGATGTATTCTGCGGACGAACTCGATCTGGTGTCGCTCCTTGAATTTTTTGTAAGCATAGGAAACTTTGAAATCGTCCCAATCCAAGTCCGTATCATGCCATGCTAAATCGAAATCGTCTTCATCTTCAACGGGAAACCCTTCTCGCATGTGGACGATTCGAGGCGGTGTGGCGTGTATGTAGATATCTGTGCGGAGCTCAAATGGCAACTGGGAAAAATAATGGAAGAAGGTAGGTGTTGCAGAACTCATGTTGAATGCTTGTAAGGGTCAAATAGACCATTGCTCATGGATAAGAACGGTTGAAAAAAATAGATGAAGAAAAAACAATAGAATGGCTTGCCAGGGCTGATCTGTATCTAGCAAGGGTGATCATATTGGTCTTGAGTTCCTTCCTTGGTTGCAAATGCAGCTACCTCACATCTCTCCTAGGCATGGAGCCTTCTAGCAGGGGCATTGAAGCCTGGCGTAATGTTCCTTCCATCTACCTAGTGAAAGAACTGAATGTAGAAACTGTGTAGTAGGTACATACCTAAGGTACTTGGGTACATGTAACCTAGGTATTTACCACCCAAGATGATACTTAACGGAAGTAGATAGCCAGAAGGATTGCAGCAACTGTACATCATCGCAAGCCATAATATGATTCACCTTGCAATGGTATGCAATGGTATGTGGAATGCTACTTCTCCTCACACAGCTATATAGGCTTTTCGGGAATGACGTGATATCGTGATTTGACCAGCCTGCCCAGTGCTTGCAATTTCGTATCTGAAGTCGTGTTTCCACTCGTTCCTTCAAAAGTAGGAGTCGTAGATTGTTGCGAAGGCGACCAATTTAACCATATGCCACATCAATTCGACTAACTATAGAGTCAAGGTTGTTGTCTGACTTCGCGAAGAAGAAATGGCCGCGGTTGCGGTGCTTCCCGTAGTAGCAGAACCCAAAGACCAAATAGCGACTATCATCCACACCTACCCTAGTCCCCGTGACGGACTCGAAGTAATTATCGAGAGTTAAGCGGCCAAGGATTTAATTTACGATATTTTCTGGGCCAGAGTCGACCCGAGAGAAGTCAACCCCCGACATACAGACGAATGGGATACAGCCCATCATGTGGTTGTATTTTCCGAAACTTGGCCTGTTTGATGGAATCCCCCAAGGAGAAAACATACACCCGGTCAGAGAAGCAATAAATTAGGTGAGTGATAGATACGCACATATTTACGAACGAGGCACCGAATCATATCCGCCGGGACCTGGTTTGGGTCTCAGGCTATGCATTATCTCCCTTAGGCAGCTCACCCTCGATCTTGGACCTCGAGTAGTTCGGGCGGTGGTTTATTCGCCATTCCTCGCCGTGCATTACAAGGCACAACTCAGCTACTCCCGGAAGATCAGCGAGACATTTTCTTTACGATCTTGCACCTGGACGACGAAAACCACCCGAACAGAGGGGAATAGGAGGAAGACTGGAATAATCGGGCGCCGAGAGACTACAGCGAAGATGGGCGACGACGCATTGTGAGGCTACATGAGATAAACAACACGGTCAGAAGAGCCATTTACGGAAACGGTGGATATGGTGTATTAGCGCCAATATATGCTATACAGTCCACTTAGACCCATATCAGTGCAAGATCTATAGGGCGCAAACGGTCGAACCGCCATCAACCACAAAGGGGCTCCCAGTGATGAAGCTCGACTTCGGACTGCAGAGGAAAGTAATGACATCGGCTACTTCTTCCGGCCTCCCTAGACGTCCCATCAGGCCAGCCGCTGGCGTGGCCTCGGGGTTATCTTCGTGGAACTTCTGAATCATTCCGGTGTCGATAAACCCCGGGCACACACAGTTCACCCGAATCGCGTGTGGTCCACCGTCGAGAGCTAAGGAGGAGATTAGTTAGCAGGTTATCCGCTAAGACGTACTTTAGGTACAAGGCAAGGGATATAAGAACTTGGCTATTCCTTACCGGCGTTTTTTGTCAGGCCGAGCACGGCGTGCTTCGATGTCGTGTATGACGTGCAGTAAGGCGCCACGGTGGTCGACATGATGGAGCCCAGAGTAACCACAGAGCCCCGAGTAGTACCCCTATCCGGCGACTCGGCAAAGTAAGGCAAGGGCTCCTGAGACTGCATGATAGCCAGGACGGCACGCAGGACGAAGTATGTGCCAGTGACGTTGATGTTTTGAAGACGGATAAAGTCGCTGACGTCAGACTGCGAGATATCGAGAATCTTTTTCGGACACACCTTGAGAGAAGTTGCGAGTTAGTCATATTGGAGAGAGATAAGAGGGATTTTTCCCCCGACTTACACCAGCAGACATCACGCAGTAGTCGATGCGCCCAAAGGAGTCAACCATCCGCTTCAGAGCAGCATCCACGGATTCCTTTTCGGCGACTTGGACATGAACTGCCTCGGCGCGGAAGTTAGGGTTCGTTGCTGCGGCCTTGGTTTCGGCGGCGACGTCCTGCGCAGTCTCGACGTTGAGGTCTGCTACCAGGATTCCACTAGCGCCTGCTTTCGCAAGGGCTAGACATGTGGCCCGTCCAATGCCAGCACCTGGATGTCTGAGTAAGTCGATGCCCTTCACAAACACAGGAGTTCATACGATGGTGAACATACCTCCGCCGATTACTATAGCATTCCCAGTAATATCCATAACTTGAGTAGCTTGAGTAGTATGCTGTGAATTGTGGAAAAGGGGAGAGAGTGGTTGTATGAGGAGTTCATAAGTCAACGTTGGCTTTTTGTCTCCTATTTTCGTTACACAATAGTACCCGGACCGAAGCCCTATCTACCCCGCAAGACAGAGAGCCAATCCGAGGCCGTGAATCGGTCACCTCGTACGCCCCCTGTTCGGTGGCATGGCATTTCCCTTCCGCCACCTGCGTATACGTCGGAACAACGATCCCGAAAAGGAGCATACTAGCAAATACATTGTAGACCCTAGACAGTTGTTTGGCGACAT